AATCATCCTCGAGTTTATTTTGCTTTTCGGTCAGACCTTCGTCTGCGGAATCGACTACACATTTTTCCATGTGTGTGAGTTTCCGTTAAACGGAAACACGCTAACTACAAACAACCCATTCTAGTGTACGTTTAACTCGAATGGTTTATTATACCACTACACGCTAGCTGCAAACACCTCTGCCCTTCCCCCTGGGGAAGCTTAACATATGAACAATTTTCAGTTTATCAATTCATGTTTCAGATCATTCAAATATAGAATTACAATTTTAGTTACAAGGTTCAAAAAGAAAGTATCAGAACTGTGATTCGAGGTCACATACTAAACTATTTCAAATACACAAAATCATTCTCATTTTTGGCTCTTCTTTGCCTTTTCGATCGCCTTGGAAAGAATTCCGGCGATTTGTCGATATCATGGTTAGCGTCATCTACCACGATTTTCCTCTTCCGACTTCGTCTCATCTCTTCCTCCGTAAACCCGTAAAACTCCTCCTGGTCAGTGTCTAATCTTGGCTGGTGTCGGACCAAACGGATATTTGGTTTATCGTGGGAATCACCACCCTTACATACGCGAAGCTGGCCCCTGTGTGCCATGGTTGGCACGTTTCCAATCATAATCTGAAAGGTATTGCGAGAATTTCTTTTAATAAAATTTGCTCTGAGCCATTTAGCTGTGTGATGGGGATTATGGTTCTTATACCATACTTCGTCTCCAGGCGTCAGATTTTCAAAAGGATCCGATAATTTTTTTGGAATATTTCCACGCTCTTTCGTACTGAGATCATCATGCACTGGGACTAAGTTTTTATTAGTAGTTAAATCATCATGCACAGGTTCTTCTCGCAAAAACTTTTTATAATGAGCTTTAGGGTTAAGTAAATCTAATATTGTTTTAGGCTTATAGGAAAAGATCTTTTGAGAAGGATAGTTTCCTTCAACAGTAATACAGTTGTTTCTGTAATTGACAAGGAACAGGTTAATCTGGTCCTCTACGTCTAAATGAGAAAATTCAGGGTCAATCAAAAACTTTTTAAGCACATCTTTTACAGTTCTCACCAACCTTTCTGCCTGCCCATTGCTGGAAGGATTATATGGCGGACTCTTTAGAACATTGATTCCCTGCCGCTTCAAAAAGTCCATAAAGGCATGTGCATTGAATGGAGGACCCCCGTCTGATACCAAAACATCTGGTAATCCGTACCTAGCAAATAAAGCCACCAATTTCTTTAAAACTTTACCACAATCTGTGCCATTCCGCATTAGTTCAATTTCAACCCATTTAGAGTAACTGTCAACTACTAACAAATATGTACGGTGCTCAAAATAAAAAAAATCTATATGAATTCTGCTAAAAGGTCTCGTCGTTGGTATCCATTTAGACTCAGTTTTAAATTTTGAAACTATCATCATACTATTGCATGTTTCGCAAGCTGTCACATAACCCTCAATATCTGAGTTAATGCCGAACCAATACACGCTTTGTCTAGCTAGTCGCTTCATTTTAACTATTCCTGCATGGTTAGCATGCAAAAGCTTTAAAACTCGATTTTTCATTGCTACAGGTATTACTACTCTATTTTGGTATAGTAGACATTCATCTACTAATTCTAAATCCTGTTGATTAGCGTACACATCAATGTATTGCTTGTTTACTTTATCTGGCCAACCATTAGTTATGAAAGAAATAACATTTTGCAAAAATTCATCCTCCTTAGTTTTACCAACAATCAATACGAAACTAACGATTTTAAATTGGCTCACCACTTAAGTAGCCTATTGGTCCCAAGCAAACGATTAACGTACCCTATTCTAGTTGAAATTCTATTACTACACTATGTTTATTTTGATTCGCTATGAAAGTTTGACAGATAACATCAGGGGTGTGTGGATTCATGCAGAACATGCAGGGGTGAGTGAAATAGCTTGGGACTGCTTGGGACCGTTGTTCTGGTACTGAGTGAGCCAAAAATAATAATGATTTTCTTCGGTACCCAGTGGTCTTAGAGTTACCTCTATGGTTTTACTAGCTATCACTGCGAAATCAATAAGGAATTCCCTACTAAAATTAATACTATTGATTAATTCTTTATCGCATTCAACAGGTACCGCTTGATCCAAAGGGAAACGTGAGCAAAAATCAGCGTTTCCTAAGTGTTTTGAGGGTCTATACTGAATCTCGAAATCATAAATCGACAGTTCTAGCACAAATCTCTGCAATCTTGTAGCGTAAATTGAATTTCTTCCATCTTTACCGAAAATTCCGACTAATGGCTTGTGGTCTGTGTAAATAAAAAACTTTTTTCCATACACAAATTTGTGAAACTTTTTCACGGTGCAAACTAAAGCTAGGGCTTCTAAATGAAGAATCGGATATTTTTGTTGGGCTGTATTCAGCGAAAAAGATGTAAAATAGATTGGTTTTTCAATTCCATCAACCAAATGTGCCATTACTCCACCTAATCCATATCCAGAAGCGTCAGAAACTATAACTATTGGTTTATTCGGGTCATAAAACTCTAAAAACCTCGCCTCCACTAGTGCTTTTTTACTTTCTTCAAAGGCTTTATCACAGTTGTAATTCCAATTAAATTTAACGTCTGTTTTCAATAAATTATATAAATAATAAAGCTTTGACGACAAATTAGGAATGAATTTATGATAATAATTGATCAATCCTAGAAAGGACTTTAGTTCCGTCTCATTTCGAGGCACTTTCGCTTTTTCAATTGTAGAAATCTTGAACATGGCATCAAACCTTTATCACTAATAACATGTCCTAGATGGACCAATTCTGAGACAAAAAATCTACATTTGTTCCAATTTACTTTGATGTTAGCTTTCTGAAGTCTTTCAAGCACTATAAATAGCTTTTTCTTGCAATCATTTAAGTCCTTTCCTGCGATCAAAACGTCATCCAAATATACCGTAACATGTTCAATTCCATTTAGAACCTGGTCCATTACCTGCTGAAAAATCGAAGCACTTGATGATGCCCCTTGCGGTAACCGGTTGTATACGTACAGTCCTTTTATAGTATTTATTACCATAAACTGTTTAGATCTTTCTGACAATGACAACTGAGTGTAAGCACCTTCAAGATCCAATGAACAAAAAATCTTACACCCAGCCAAACCAGCAAACACGTCTTGAGCTGTGGGCAACGGATAAGTATTTGAAATGATAAACTTGTTAACCGAAACCTTGCAATCTATTACTAGCCTTATATCATTGTTCTTCTTCATTACCACAATCACAGGAGAAGCCCATTCACTCGTCTTTACTGGTGTTATCACCTTTTCATTTTCCAATTTTGTTAAATATTCAACGACCTTCTCCCGTAAACGGTACGGTACGTCGTAAGCTTTCTTAAAAATAGGGACTTCAGATTTCAAAACCAAATCCGCCTCAAAACCCTGGATTGGAGAAGAAAAATCTTTAACAAAAACACCATTGAACTTATTTTTGATTTCATTAACTATTGTGCGGTCAGTTTCAGAACTAGAAAAAATAGAATTCACAAAAAAGTTTCTCCAATCCGGGAAAAATACATCCAACCATGTTCTTCCCAATAAAGGGGTAAATTTATTGTCGCAATTTAGCACCAAAAGCTTCAAATTTGCCGAAAATCCCCTTAAATTAACCAAAACATCTACTTCTCCTTCTATCACAAGGTTCGTGCCATTTACAACAACCAAATTTTTTTGACTCTTTGTTAAAACTTTTAAAAAATTATCAAAATATTGCTTTCTACTCATAACAGTTACAGACGAACCACAATCCACTTCCATATCAAACAAAACATTATCAATTGCTACTCTCAAAAGACAAGATTCACTTATTTTCCCTACAGACGACACATGCATACATTGAAGAACATGTTTCTCACCATTCGCATCATTCTCACTGTCTGAATCCGTTCGCATTCGGTTGACATATCGCTCAAAAACTCGTCCGGGTTGGATCCAGAAGTATTCGGATTGATCATGTTCACAGCATCCCTATGCATATTTTTTAATTTAAAACACTTCCGTTTAATGTGCCCCTTGACACCACAAAAATCGCACACCATTTGTGAATAGTTAGGGCGATTCAAAAGACGATTTCTTTCCTCTTTGTCTTGACCTCGGTTCCGCTATTGCATATTCTGCCCTTGCCTTTGTTTCCATTGATTTTTGTGATAAGGGGAATAACCTTATCTAGTTTTGACCGGTCCCCGGTTTTGCGGAACCTCTGTATTGGCATTCGCCCTCGCTAACTCCATTGTGGCCGCCAATGTATTTAGCCTGGCCCCAGGAAAACCAGAAGCCTTCAAAGACGCTATTAAGTCCACACTGTTGCTGTGATCCATGTTTTTTGCATTATTTCTGGCAATTTCCCAAGTAGTAATTATTTTTTCCGCAGTCTCTAGCGTTAGCTTCTCTTCATTGAGCAATCTTTGCTGAAGAGATTTGTCCCGGATACCAGCAACAATACGGTCACGAATAGCCAGTTGTTTAAAGTTTTCAAAATTGCAGAATTCTGCTTGAAGTTTCACAGACAACACGAAATCCTCTAACGATTCATCCGGTTGCTGCACCTTAACGTTAAACTTTAAACGTTGCACAAGATCAGATTCGGTTTTATCGAGTCTTGCTTTCAACTTGGCAACCATTTCTAAATAAGGAATCTCGGCTAGATTACCATTGAGGTACAACAATTTTAGTTCCCTGAAAATTACAGGGCCACTCAACGTAATAAAATGATCTCTCTTCTCTTCATCGGGTACTTTATTCATGTTAAAAAAGAAACCCAAACGTTCAACCCAATCTCCAAACGAATTGCCTTTGCGAAAAGGTTCTAATGTAGTGCTAAAAGTGGATTGAGCCATGTTAAATGTGAAAAAGAAATGTTTTCCACTGGTAAATAGCGCAATCACTTCTACAATAAAACAATGTCTGCTTACAAATGGATGCACTAACTGGCCTCTCAATGTTAAAAAAAAAATTACTCACCAAAATGTTGTTCAGCCTTTGCCGACCGGGGATAAGAGTAATGTTTCGCTACTCGCGGTCTTACCCTTTGGCAACCACGCAAGCCGTCAGTTGACGTCGAGATTTGGGTACTACCTGGACCGGAACTGGCCAAGAAAATTAAATAAAGCATTTCTGAAAACATGACGCTGCAAAGTCTCTAGGCCAATCGGGTGAGATCTTTCCATTTTATCTATTTATATTTTATTTTTTGTCACTGATTTATCAAATGCTCTATATTGACGAATAGAGTTGCCAAATCATTCACCCTCCCACTAACACAACTCTTTCCTTCCTGTGACACCTATGAAGGTAGTATGGGTTCCCTGCACCTTCTTAAGTAGATGTTGGATTAACTTTCCCTCCCTTCCCCTGCGATTGTAAGGATGTGGCCAGGTGTATAATGCGATGATTCTATTGTAGATTTTATTTTCGTGTGGGGAAAATCACTAATCCCAAGTGATATTTTCTGCGTCAACACTCGATATTTTCTGCAAAACGTATTAGTTGACCATTATATAGCCACCCACGATTTGTACAATCGCATATGCTATGCTATGCTATGCTATGCTACCTGGACCGGAACTGGCCAAGAAGGATCGACGAGAGGAAATGCGGAAGCTATTGATGCGCCGTGAAAATCACCAGAAGTGCCACTGAATCGACGTACAGCGATGGTGAATCCCGCCGACTATCACTATCTATTAAATAAAAGAAAACACTCTTAATAAAAGAAAATAAAAGGCTATTGCTGCGAAAAATTTCTTTTATATTCCTCAATTTATTATTTGCGCATCGAAAATAAAATGAAGGTCAACACAAAGCGCCTTTCAATTACCGGGTCAAAATGAAGCCGAAATTAAGCCACTGCGATCCGTAAAACGCCAAACCCACCGAAATTGGTTTTCAAAATCTCCCGACGAAAAAAAAAACTTACCACTCCGGATCGAAGTGCTTTTTGTAGATAATTAAGATAATAGAGCAAACTACCGGCAGCCGACAGATGAATCGCAATAAAAGCTCTATCTTGATGGCGTTCGTCGTACTAGGTCGAAAATTATACTCCACCTTCACTTTAACACTTCTCAACACTTGCCACTGAACCTATTTTCCGTCGTCGCCAACTGAAAAGTCCGTATGTTGGACCTATAGACTTTTTATTTATTTCACCGAACTACTAATTGAAACACTAAAAGTGAAACCGTGATTTTAAGAGGTAATAAAAAAACGACTTGTTACTTGGAGGTGTCAGATACTAATCATCCTCGAGTTTATTTTGCTTTTCGATCAGACCTTCGTCTGCGGAATCGACTACACATTTTTTCATGTGTGTGAGTTTCCGTTAAACGGAAACACGCTAACTACAAACAACCCATTCTAGTGTACGTTTAACTCGAATGGTTTATTATACCACTACACGCTAGCTGCAAACACCTCAGGGTGCTCATCCGGGAGACCTCATAACGCTTTATAAAACAACAATTCTCTCTGTTCTAGAGTACGGCTCTTTCTGCTTTCTCTCGGCAAGAAAATGTCACCTAATAAAATTGGAACGAATTCAATATCGTTGTCTGCGTATTGCTCTAGGCTGTATGCACTCAACGCATAACATGAGTCTCGAGGTTCTGGCAGGAGTAACACCCCTCCAGAACCGTTTCTGGGAGCTCTCTCTCAGAATACTAATCAAATGCGGAGTGACAAACACACTTATAATTGCTAATTTTGAAGAAATTCTTGAGCTGAACACACAATCTCGATTTATGAGAATCTACCACCACTACATATCATCAGATATGTGTCTTCCTTGTTATACTCCAGACCGTGTTCACTTCACCAATCGCAGTTTCTCAATTGAATATGATCTGACCATGAAACAAGCAACTCATGGGATTCCCGATCAACTTCGACCTATTATTATTCCGCGTATTTTTACTGAAAAGTGCCAACAAGTCAATTGCATGAAAAGATATTTTACAGACGGGTCCCGTCTCAATGGATCCACTGGCTTCGGTGTCTTCAATGAAAACTCTAGCGCCTTCCGCAAACTTCAGGAACCTTGTTCCGTTTTTGTTGCTGAGCTGGCAGCAATCAACTTCGCATTGGGGATGATTTCCAACATGCCCGCAGACCATTACTTCATCTTTACGGATAGTCTCAGTTCGATTGAGGCTATTCGGTCGATGAAACAAGGTAGGCACTCATCTTATTTCCTTTCAAAGGTAAGGGAGCAGATGTGTGTGCTGGTCGAAAGATCATATATGATTACCTTTGTATGGGTCCCCTCACATTGCTCAATCCCAGGCAATGAGAAGGCGGACTCTCTCGCAAAGGTGGGCGCGCAGGAAGGCGAATTGTATGACAGGCAAATTTCACACGATGAATTTTACCATTTAGTGCGTCAGAGTACCTTTTCGAGTTGGCAAACCGATTGGGACACTGGAAATCTTGGACGGTGGTTACATTCAATTATTCCTAATGTTTCTTCGAGAGCGTGGTTTAAAGGCTTCCCAGACAACCAGAAGTCGTATAACAATGTACAGACAGTATCGTAAATTGCTACAATTTAAGTCAAAATCGCATATTAGAATGGCATACCTCGCATTATGTTTAAGTTAAATCGTATAGAATGCAAATTTCCGACTTATATGCGATGACTCATTTTTCCGTCGTACTGTATCACAAATTTAATCGGATTACATCGTAAGACTTTTCAAAATGGATTTGTTATTACAGATCAAATTGCATATGATGTTAAATCAACTCGTTTAAAATTAAACGAAAATATGCACGTATATGGCCTCCACTTTTGTACGTATAAGCCATTTCTTTGCATTCTATACGACTTGTTTGTTTGTATATATGTTTGTATATCACGAAAACAACTTTAAATATACGTGCATTCTGGTTGTCTGGGTTGGGCTTAAGTCGTGACTTCATTCGCGTGATGAGTAGACTTATGTCCAACCACTACTCGCTAGATGCTCATCTCAATAGAATAAACCTCGTGGACAGCAACATCTGTCGGTGTGGAAACGGTTACGATGACATCGAACACGCAGTTTGGCAATGTACGGATAATGACGCCGCCAGAGAGCGACTTTTGAATACCCTCGAGGCCCAAGGAAGACAACCCTATGTTCCTATCAGAGACGTGTTGGCAACCCGTGATCTCTGCTATATGCATTCCGTTTATGTCTTTCTTCAAATGTCTAGTATAAGAATTTAATTCCTTTTGTATTTTGTCTCTCTTTATTAGTTTTTGTTTGTCTTGTCCCCCCGTCTCGATGAGTCTCATCGTCGCCCACTGGTCACCCACCATAGCCGGTCAAACTCCGGACGAAGCTAGAACAGCACTACCGTTCATACTGGCGACAACGCTCTGATGAGACAACGAAACCCTACCCCAAGCTCCTCCCCTGATCCTATCCTTCGAAAATGTACCCTTCTAACCTCGAGTAAGCCACGAGTAATCGGCCCAACTCCTACTAGACATAGAATTAAGTGAATTTTGTTACACACAGTGAACAATGAATTATCGGCTCCGTAAAGCTAACGCGATTGAGCCTTCCAAATAATCGAACTAGATAAAAAAAACGAAGATATTCAAAATTCTGCTTTGGCAACTAATTTAAGCTAACAATCGTCAATCCAAAGTATGGCAATTAATTATATGACTTGAGTAATAGCTATACTGAAGATCCGAGAGATGTCGCCCCTTCAGTATGGAGAATATCAGAAAATCCACGATTTGTGACTAAACATGCTTTCAATGAAGGAAACACATAAACGAGTATAGTAATGTACTCGTGCAATTTTCGTGCATCTAAAACTGCCCATAAAGCCGATAATGAATAAAAACTGAAAATTTTCATGCATTTTCAAATGGTTTCCTACCATTCCCATACATTTGAAAGTGACTGGCCTTCTGGATGTGGATGATGTCAAAAACAACAAAACATGATGAATTGGGTTTTTTAAGGGTATTGAGGTAAATGCATATGCGTAATATGCATTAAAAATGGAACCGAAATTCTAAAGTTCATCAATTTTAGAACACTGGAACTATTTTAAATAAGCGCGATTACATTAGCAAAATTCACAATATTAACGCCCCTCGGTGGGACTTTGTATGGGAGCGAGCTGGTCAATTTATTAGTTTAGTATCAAACAGTGAAGCTCTTAAAGCCGGCGCCGGTGGTGTAGTAGTAAGCGTAACTGCTTTCTCACCCCAATAAGTCTGGGTTCAAGCCCAGTCGAGGTCGGTGGGATTTTTCTGAGGCATACAATCTCTGGTAACGTCTGTCTTCCTTCGGAAGGGAAGTAAAGCCGTTGGTCCCGGCCCATGTGTGTTGAATGGGTGCGATATCCTACGCAGGTGTGGAAGCTGCCTTCGTGCGCATTCGATTGCCATTAATGGATGGCAATTGATGTCCGTCGGTGATTGGCACTAGATTGCGAAACAGAGATCGACGTTAAATAAAGGAAAGAAGAAGCAATAAAGCTCTTATTTTGCTTCAAATCTTGATTTAAAAATCGAGATGAAAGTCTATGAATTGTGCTCATCAAACAAAGTTCTTTCATATAATGTATAAAATCCGATATTGTTTACAAAATTAAAAAAAAAACTCAATTGTCAGTGACGAACCTGTGAAGATTTTTTTATTAGCTAAATTCGAAACGAAATTAAATGACTTGGCAAAACAATTACATAGAGCTGATAAAGTGAACAAGCATCTACGTCCTGAACTGCTTAGATAACAATAATGTGGCTCAATGCACTTTTTGTTACCAGGTGAATCTATGTCATTGACGGAAACATTAATGAGACTTTGACAAAGTTTTTTTTTAGGATTATGTATATGTGAAAAACAATTTGGTCAATATCGCGCGAAAGTATGTCAACGGCAATGAAGAATCTCAGCCTTGTTAAGTACACATACAAATTAAAAAAAAAATGTTTGCAGATTAGTTGCTCTTCACTCTTCTATACTTATATAATATGCCCTGAAATTAATGCTTTACTTATTTATTTATTTATTTATTGTTGTTTTACATCAACAGACTGGATGAAGCCATAATGATGTTAACCTTATCAACTATAGTAAGACAAAAAATACATTCAAGCATGGTCATAACACAAAGAACATTAAAAAACATATATGTTATAGCCAGTTACTCCTGCCAGCGAAAAACGGAAGAAAACTTTCACGGGAGAGATGTACACGCTAACTTGAAAGTACTCATTAATGAGTAAAAAAAGACCCATTTTGAAGAAAAGTGGCTTAACTCATTAATGATTAAACAATTTTACCCATTAATGAGTATCTGTTACCCATTAATGATTAACAATTACTCATTAATGGGTAACAGATACTCATTAATGGGTAAAAAATTTACTCATTTAATGAGTTAAGCCACTTTTCTTCAAAATGGGTCATTTTCAACCATTAATGGGTACTTTCAAGTTAGCGTGTAAGTTGAAGACATATGCAACTCTATTGATTACTCTCTGCAGTCCGCAAATCGCATCGTATGCTCCATAATTTGTGCGACGTAGACTAAGGCTATAGTCTTAGCATACGGTTATTACGAAGCGGTCGGGGTTGAACATTCAGATCAATCTGCCTCAGGATAGCCTCGCAACTTGTCCTTCCCTGCAGGATATCGGTCACAGTTAAGGCTAGTCCGGAAAAGTTCTAGGCCGATAAGTTGACAACGGCTTTCGTAACTGGGTAATCTACACGGATCATCCCAAGTAGCGCAAAACGAAGAAAGCGACGTTGAACAGATTCGAATCTCTCGGCACCGTTGTTGTAGTTTGGGTTCCAAAACACTGATCAATACTGAAGCGTCGATCGAATAAGCGAACAAACAAGATTCTTTAGACAGCAGATGTTGGTGAAGTTTTTAGCTATCCTAAAACTGAACCCTAAAGTTCTTGACTCCTTATCGACAACATATGCAATGTGTTACTTGAATGATAGCTGCGAATCCAAGATCACACCCAAGTCTTTCACTTGATTCACGCGTTCGATTGTCGAGCCAAGCA